AAAAATAAAGTGGGAAAGAATAGGAAAGAGCATTATACACAGACCCTAAAGCAGTTCTCATGAAAGCCAATCCCTGTACAATACTTAAGCCTCTGCTTCTAATACACTAAGCACAGCTGACTTCAAAATTCAAACCATAATGCTGTTAAACTTTTTCTTCAGTGAATAATTACTGATGCTTGAAAATTTAATTTAAGGGGGAAAATATAAACACTGCATGAAAGTTTGCAAGTTATAATTTGTCATGTTAAGTTTTGTAATACCCCAAGAAGTAGGTTACTTGCAGACCTTTTTATTCCTGAATAAACCCCAATTCTTTATGCTCATCTAGCACCGTTGTGGGAAAGAAAGAAAGGCCAGACTAATCACAGAATTATGCAGAAGATACTGGCTTGCTTTTTACATACAAGCTCCACTCATAAATAGTTTAGTAATTGGCATCTTGATCTATGCCAGCTCATCGTATATTGTACTTGAAAGAGCTGCATGCAACTTTTTGAGAATCAACAATTCTGACAATCAGAAGGTAAAAATTCCATTGTTTCAAATTAAACCGTTAAAAACTAAGCCAAGAATTTCTCAGTCTCAATGCCCCCACCTTGAGGACAACCCCCCCAAGAATGATATAGACTATATATATAAACAAATTATGTCTAGAAAACTGGGTTAGGGAAGTATATGAACTACCTACTTAAACTGTAAAATATCATTCATATTTAGGTTTATAAACACAAGACTTGGGAACTATTGAGTTCTTTTGGCTAAAACCCAATATTGGCCTTATTTCAGTTTAATTGGAAGAGGATCTTGAATTCATCTTCTCCATGAGATATCAGGAACCTGGATTTCTGTTTGTACCAAAGGTTAATAAGAAATGTGTCTGCAAAAGTCAAACAGCATTAAATACCAAAAACTGATTATTATTCTGCAGGAGTTGTTCTGTCATTCATAATCTCTCCATGCTCCAACCTTCCACAGCTAATCTTTAATGGATGACATGCAGGAAAGAAAAATAACATCTAAAAAGGGACTTTAAAGTGAGCTTTGAAGAAACAGAAAATACTTTGCTTCTGTGCTGGAAGTTATTGCCACCCAAAGTTTATTACTGGCAAGATTACTTATTTCCTCTTACTTTACGGGATATTAAATCAAATTAACTCTCAGGTAATAGCCACTTGGATATTTGTTTTTACTTTCTATTAAAATGATTGCATATGCATATTCAGTAATTATTTTTTGAGTCAATTTAGGAAACTTCAAATAATGTTCGTGAACTTTTCCATACCATAATCAAGAATTCCAAAATACTACAAATGCAAATGCACAACAATTTCATAAAAACAGACCTGAAATAGGGACTTCATTGTAGGTATATTGCCATAGTTTCCAAGAGACTGAAAGCTGTATAACATATACCACTGTATTAGAAGTACTGCTTTCCCCTTTTTCCATACTGTATTTCCTATCATTACCCTGGTCTTTCAGAGAGCATCTGCAGAACGCTAATACAGTTTTCAGGTACTAAAGGTAGCGTGCAACATCTAACAGGGCTGGACTGATATGATGTTGATTTAAAAAAGTAATAAATTTTGGTAACATTCTTATTAGAAACAAGCACAAAAAAATCCCAGCTCCACAGAATAGCCATTGCTACAGAAAGATTTAAGGATAAACATTTTTTTAATTATATTTTCATTTAGAATTATTCTTAGTCTCAACATATACTGTGACAGCAACAAAAATATGCAAGAGCTGAGGTTCTGATGCCAACTATGTTATATCTTGCTTCAGTAATGGCAGGAGTTACTGTGAGAAAACCTGGGCTTTGATATTTTTTCCAGTATGGAGAGGCTATCACTATGCTCTATAATTTTGCCTTACACTCAATCAGCTCTTTCCTCTAAAACTTCCCATATATCCCCTATTTCATTCTTCTGTTAGGAAAAAATTAAGTCACTTATTATGTCCATCCAAAGTGAGATCTGTTCTCTCTTCTGGTTTTTTGAAGACTTTCTGTCGTTTGCAATGCATCCATCTTCCAGTCTGTCCTCAGATGTATGCTCCTTCTCTCTTTCCCTTCCCACAGGGGGCACCCATTCCTTTTCTGTTCAACATATTAAAGTTCTGCACTTCCCAAATGTCAAGATTTGTCTATTCTTCATACCCAGCTCATATGCGGTGTTCCCGTTTTTCCTTACATTACCCTGGTCTCTGTTCTTTTACAATGTACTCTTCCCTTGATTTTCCTGATGTTGCCACTACCTCTGTTCTTCTTGATGATGGGGAGTGAAACTAATGGTACGCTAATGGACACTGGCTTATAATGACACAAAATCCAGCAGAATAATAATGAAGAAACTGCAGGAATTTGTGGGAACTATGACCCCCAGAAACATTAATATCCAGTGCCTAGAAGTCTGTAACCAAAACTGCACATTCCCTAAATTTCTTTAGCCGTAACTAGCTGACATAGAGATAAGGACCCAAGGAAGTTTTAAAATCCATTTTCCAGGCTAGTAAAATTTGAAAATAAACACCTTCTGAAAATAATTTTTTTACTGCAGAGTATTATACTTTCTCTTCCATCATCTATATCTTCTGCTTTAATTCTACTTTTTCTTCTTCTTTCATGAACCACTTAACAAATTTACACTTTTTCTCTTCACTTCTTCCTCTGAACAAAGTAAAAATTATAAAGGGACAATCTCCAGATTATTTGTTTCTGAAGACTGCAGTAGCTTCATTTAAAGATGGCCTTTGTCTTCATTTTTTCTGTTCTTTCCATGGGACGTGTTTAGGTAAAACCCATCAATTTGGGGGTTACCTTTTAAAACGGAATTGTAATACTCCTCAAGGTAGATAACACTTTTATGGTGTACCTTTCTGATGTTCTTTACAATATAATTTTGTGGAGTCACTTACTTATCATAAAGTCAGTACTAAGTAATAATAAAAATGCAAACACCCATATTTACAAGCTTCAGTCCACCATGTGTTATACACGGCAGTAATTAAACATTAACTAGTAGCATGAAATCACAGCAGCAAGTGTTCTCCCTTCCTCAAAGAACTTAAAACAAGGGGAAAAGTTTTTCCTTAAACACAGTCTCTTCTTTATTAGGTTCTGCTTGTCCACTAGAGCTCTACCCAAGGCTTTTATGAGAGAGAGAGAGACACAGACCTCCACAAATTCGGTTTGGTTCACATCATTCCAGATTTCAAATCATTTATCTATACTTGGTAACATTCTTAGAACTGTAAGACAGGAAGCAAAAAAACTGTGAAATATTAACAATGCTTCCTTTTGGCAAACAGCTTAAGTAGTAAGGAGCCTCTTGCCCTCTCTCTCAGCATTTAAAGGATTTTATACTTCCTGTACTCATAAAAAGAGAAAAAAAAGGCTATTTTTTAAAGGTCATCCTTACTACACATTGTAGCTCTCTTTAAAATTTGGTTTATTCTTACTTTTAAAACAGAATAAGTATGTTAAATTCTTATATCCATATTCATGCCATACTATTTTGAAGAGAAAAATACGCTCAGGACATAATTAGAATGTTTGAACAGTAGTGTAGGGAAACAACAATTTACCAACAAGTATTCCTACTGCATCGAAAAAAATGAAACTAAACATGTTTTTGACACACTTTTCTTTCCAGGTTTTAATGAGCAATGAACACCTATATCAAAGAGAATCAAGTACAGAGGTAAACCACTGGGCAAATATCCAGGAACAAACATGAAACTTCAGATCCAGCCCAAACCATTTGCATTAGCCTTTGACTGCTAGATGTAACAAGGATAGAGAGTGTGGATTTTTTTTCTTATGAAAATAAAGCAAGCAGTTATGTGAAATTGAATAAGAATAAAATTATGCCTGTATTTAATTTTTTTCCTAAGATGTCAATTAGATTTTCCTTTCCCTTCCCCCACCACAGAAAATCTAGGAACTGTCTCTTCTATCTATAATATTCACAGTATACTGTATTCTCAGGAGTTTGATATTAAGTGGAAAGTCAGCCATCTGTTTTTCAGTTAGAGAGTTTATAATCTGCTCTTTTTACCTGAAGACAATTACTCCTCCCTTCAGTACCAACATTTTGGAGACAGGTATTAGTACTATTAATACATTATGAAGTGTGTAAGATCCATAAGAAAACAGTTTTACCAACCTCACACTTTCTTTCTGAACAAATGATACAATGTATTTATAAAAGCACTCTCATTCATTTTTTAAAAACACTTTCAGAAAAACCTTAGAGCATTTTTCATCCACTAGGTACACTGTATACACAGTCACTTCTCAATAATAAAAATACTCAGCTTCATTATGTCAGCAATACCTGAAAGCATAGAATACAAGCTGTTTTCATGCTTGTATGTCTCCCCAAAGAACAATTAACAACAAATATAAGCATGCATTCACTTTCAGCTATAAACTTAAAAACCTTTCAAGAATTCATATGCACTTCATTCACTGGAGACATACCATTATTTGACAAAAATTCATTATAACTACCAGAAGAGTAGATTTTTCAAGAACAGGTTTTTCAAGAACAGTGCAGGTCTCTAGTTGAGGTGAATGTGTGACTATCTCCATGCACGGGGAGGGGGTAGTATTGCTCTGAACGAGCTAAAACAATAAGTGGTATTTGAACTGCTGGTTGAAAGGTAGAGGCACTGGTAATCATTATTTCCCCTTGTTTGTTCAGGACCTTCCAGCAAAACAAACAACCTTTTTGTGATTGGATTGACATGGTGTTAACAATGCATTTAATGCCCAAATCAGTATGAATACAGGTAAAGCTCCTACTAATACCAGTACCAGGATGTTAAAGCCACCTATTTTCTAAGCAACTCTAAACAGCCACATATAAAAAAAACCCTCAAATCTTCCCTCCTTTAGTAAATAAAGCTAACGCTCACTAGGCCACGTCATATAGCAACCACAGGTACTGTAGGAGCCATACAGCCATCTGTTAAACGCTTGCCTACTGTACCTGCAATCTTTTCTGCAATCTTAGCTTCTGTAGCTCTCTCTTGTAGTTCTAAGTCCAGTTTCATTGTCTTCAGCTCCTTGTCCTTTTCAGCCAGATTATCTTGAAGCTGAATTGAACAAATGTACAGTAAGATTCTTATCCGGCTGAAACAGCTCTTTTAACCACAGCAAAATTGTAAATAATAATTTCTTACCCCCAAAATACAAACACTAAGCATTACAACAAAAGTTCAATTTATTACATTTATTTGTTTAAAGACCAAACATTAAAAATATCTATTTTAACATCTGACCTATCTGTGAGCCAAGTAGCACATTGCCACTTGTAATTGCATGCTGTTGTTTTGACTTGGGATTCTCTTCTTCAGGTATTGGTAGCCTTCTTGCTAAGGAAGTTCAGAATTAGATAGAATATAATGTAGGTGGTGTCTGCATAAGCAGCCCGTTTCCTACCAAGAGTACTGCCATCACAGCATGAAGAGACTGTGGTGTAAATGCATAATTTTTCATGTTCATTATCAGATACAAAACTGGTATTCTTTCACATATTGAGGCCTTTCTTTTAAATGGGTATTCACTAAATCTGTTCTTCGAGAGATATCTGAGCTTGCCATTAAATATTAAATGGCACTTCATGGAAAGACTATAGACTGTTATGTTGTTTAGGTGCATACAACCACAACTAACTAGAAGCAATGCAGTGTTCAAGTAGGATGGAATTTTCTTCCTCTCAACAAAGAGAACTTATCAGGGCACATTCGTTATCTGGGCCACAGAAGCATCAGAAGCATGAGCTCCAGATTCTATTCATGAAGTCCTGGCTTTGTCTTTGGTCCTCCTTGGTTTTCATCCAGGGTGCAAGAACTTATGTCACTGATTAAAAAAATCAGAGGGTAGGTTGAATGTTTTTTTTTTTTAATTCCAGAGAAATGGTTGTTAAACAGATACTAAGAATCCAAAATGTCAGGAAGCTACTGATTAGTACTCTCAAATAAATAACAAAACTAAATCAGAAACAATTTAAAATGCATGTTTTACAAGTCAACCACAAGAAAGCAAATACTGTGATCTGAATATCTCAATTGTACCTTTTTATTTTTGGCCCTCAGCATGTCCAATTCTTTTAAAAGGAATGCAGTTTCTGTTTTTCCATCTAAATCTGCAGCATCCTTCCATGAGGGTGTAAATTCAGGGAGCATTCTGTTAGCCTTTCTTTCTACAGTACTGTATTTAGGAAGGAAAAAAAAAAAGAGAGAGACAAAAATAACCTCTAGATACTATTGCCCAGACATTATAAAACTCAAGCCTTTTCCATGTTCAGGAGATGCTTCCATGACCAAGTTTAAATATAATTCATCATCATCTTAAACTGAAATGTTTTCTTTCCTCAAATGAATTTTTTCCTTTCTCCTTAGAAGAAAAAAATACAAATCACATTGATGGTACACCAAGACCAGAATCTACAATGTAAATCAACACGGACTCAACATTTCCTGGGTTTTTCTATATCAAGATATTTTATCATATATTCTAATTACAATCTATTTGAGGAAGGACATATTTTGTGCAATTTATACAGTATCTACTATAATGAGGTTTTGGCACATAGCTTTAGGATCCTCCATGTAACATACTTGCAGATGATATGGTTTAACATGCTGACTGCTGTGGGAGGTTAATCTCAGTGTTCAAGACCAGCCTGAGTGCCAGTGGGAGTGGCATTGGTGAAGGGTAGGAGCTACAATCTTTGGCTGACTCTGTGCTGGGCTGTACTTAAGCACTCGGGATTATATTTGGCTTTTAGTGCAGGATGCATTGCCCTAATGGCATATGTCAGTCCCTAATGCAAAAAAAAGGCAACAAGACAAATGAAAACGTGCTGTGGATTGGGTTTGGCCCAATAAAACACCACCAGTTCATAATAAAGATAACAAAAGCAGGTGTAGAATCTGCTACACAGGTGAGGAATTAGTATATTTTTCAAAAGTATATAATAGGGCTTTGCAGTCTTGCTCCCATTTTCAAAAGCAACTCTGTCACTTTCAGTTTAGACTTGGTCTACAAGTCACTAAGTCACTCAAAACTGGTAGCATTTTCCCTAGGCAGCTAATTATACCTTGTATATTATGTCACATATAAAATGAGTATATATATTTCTCAAGACTGCAGTAGAGGGCCATTGCACAGTACAAAAATTAATGACAAGAAATGACCAAAATTAATAACAGAATAATATGTTCAGAGTTTATATTAAACTTTTCAACCATATTTGCCTTTCTCCAGATTCCTGTCACAGACTGCTACAAGGTATCACAGCTCCTCATATTCACTCTTCCAACTTCATCTGGACTTCACACTGCTTTATTCCTGCTTTCTACTCACTCATCACATTGCGCTTGTTGTGTAAAGTCACAGATGCTCCTAGACTTTTAGATCTGTTTTAATTCTCTTCAGGATGCATTTTCAAAATTCTCTGTAGAGAACACAATCATTGAAATACCCACAGTGTGTGATATAAACCATTGCAAATATCAAATTTTCTATGCAAGAGAATACAATAGTGAGAAAGCTGCATTCTGCAAGGGAAGAAGGGCAGATATGGTGAGTCTAAGTAAAAAGCTGACTTACTGACTCTTATGTGGGTAGCAAAATTCCCTGTCTTTATCCAAAAATTCATATGTATATTGTCTATAATTTGAATCTAGAAAAACTACATATAGGGATATTTCTTGGTTTTACCTTGATTCTTCAGGACCAGAACTATAATTATTTAGGACTCCTCCTCCTTGACTCTTTACTGGCAAATCTGAAGATTTTAGTGCTTCAGTTTCTGTCTGGATGAAAAATTCTGCGTTTTTTTGAGAATTCTGATAAAACTGAAGTCCAACGCAAAAGTCTTCTTTTTTTTGTTCCAAGATGTGTGTTTCTAATTGGAAAGAGAAGCAAACACATTTTCTTATTTGGAAAATGAAGCAAAAACTTGAGATTTCTCATTCAAAAATGGCTTCCTATATTCATATTCTTATTTGTAGCAGAAGGGAACAAGTAATTTACTTTCAGATTCACAGCTTCTTCTTCCCACTCAGGAACAAGAGTTGTGTTACCGACAGCATGGATGTAGAAGTTACAAACTATTTCCTGGATTTTTCTCATGGAAACATGCAAGATTAATCACCATTTCATAATACCTCTTCCCCTTAAATGACTGCTTAAAATAATGCTGACTGTAGAAAAATATTTACTTATCTTTTGTAAAAATCAGCTCTACCATAGTAAGACATGATGAATTTCTGCTATAGAGAGAGAAATTTTCAGGTTATTAACTAGACTCTTACTTATAGTGAGGTCTCTTTCAAATCCATTTTGGCTACAGAAGGAATATCATCAAGCTGTAGTTAGCAACCACAAATTTAAGGCCACATTATTCATTCCTTTGGAGTGCAAGGCACAGGCTCGTACAACTAAGGAACCTGAAGAATGCAAACCAGAAATTGTGCCAAAGGGGAAAAATATGACTAAAATGTTGAGAGTGACAGTTAGTTCTCTTAAGCGTGGCTACTAGATATTTTTAGGACATTTCTGATATCAAGGTATTTAAATGAAAGAAAGATCTACATACCACAAACGTACTTTCATAAAGTAAGAACAAGTAAGTTTTAATTATAGAATTATATTAAAAAATGAGAAGGAATCAGCCTAAAAAACCTGCAAATGGAAAAAAGGTGCATATATTCTTCATTTTTTCATTTAGATTTGTAGAGAACAAACACTGGAGCTTTTCCTTGTTTAATAAAGTTAGTGTTTCCAAACATTTTGGATAAATTATAGGGTATACATTCTCTTATCCATCTTATAACATCCTCTTCAAAAATAATAAGAAGCTGTTTATACAGTTGAAATCAAGTAGAAATAGACCAAAAATACAAATCAATCAGTATCAAGGTGTCATGCTCCATGTAAGACATTCCAAGTAAAAAATACCAAAGATTGTCTCTAAAATCTGTTGCAATAGATTCCTTTCTCCTTAAAGAAGTAAAGACACAGCCAATGGTACAGGAAACAGCCCAAGGGCACTGAGAGATGACTTGTGAATTGGCTGGAGTCAGTTTAACAAGTTCCATTAAAAGCTATATGTCACTACCTTAAAGAAAAATTATGGTACCCACTGCTCATCTGTATTCTCCTAATTCACTTCAGCACAAACTTACTTGAATCCATTACTGCAAACTATAACTACTGATTTTTGTACTAGAGAAACAACAGTCAACAAATAAATCCTAGAGTGCCTTCCCTGCCTCTGCTGGATGCAGTTGAGATTTCTGCTATTTCTTTTCAGATTGGATGCTCAGAATCTTTGTTTCTGAGCACTAATAAACATGTGGAGACCATAACTTGATAAAATATTAGCATTGTTGTAGTTGCCCATAAGAACCAGGACCTTGAACATGAGGGTTCTTCTTATTGTCTGAAGATGATCCCTGCGGGTCCTTTTTAACTCAGCATATTCTGTGATTCTGTGATATTTCACTCAATCCTCTTCCATGCCCCTCCCTCTTACTAGAAGGATCAAGACTAACACCACCTGGGTTCCCACACCCTTGATCATCACCCCCAAACCCATACAGTCACACACAATACTTCCCAGGTCACACCAACAGTATCACTTGTGCCTACATGGAAGAGCAGCCGGGGGTAAGAGAGTAAGATAAGAATCAGGAGCCTTTCTATAACATCCTGAATATGAGCTGCCAACAAGAAGCAAAGCTCTCTAGAGAACAAGTTGAGTCAGCAGACAGATTTTTATTTTTATTTTTAAAACCAGAAGCAAACATGTCTGCATGAGGAGGTAAACATCTGCATTAGCATCTGCACTTCAGGGTAAATCCTTAGGCCATGTCAAGATATAGGGTTTTATGCCTTCGACTGTAAGTTACTGCAGCTTAAAAAAAAATAATTTAGAATAGGACTAGACCTGCATTGGCATTTATTAATGCTAATGCTGCTTCTTCAACCAATGTACATTTGCAGCACACTTTTTCATCCAGATTCAATTCCCTCAAGCACATGGGTAAGACTAAGTAGCATCACAGCAAGCCTGTAAGTGGCATTCCCAATGTTAGGCGAAACACAGAGGATCTGTTTTTTATCTACTGATTTTGTAAGAGAGAAGATGATGGCAGCCTCTTCCACTCAGAATTGGAAGCGCTCTGCCCAATGGCATTAAGGTGAGAGGTCTTAAGTCTTTTAATAAAGCTGCAATGTTTTTGTTTGTTTGTTTTGGTGGTTTTTTGTTTGCAAAAACCAAAGTTGGTTTGGTTTTTTTTGGGTTTTTTTGTTAACATGCTAAATTTGTCAGTAGAATGCTTTGGGGAAGACTTTTTGAACACTGTCAGATCAATCAGCATAGGGTTTTTTTTTTTTTAAAAACCACTTTATTCTACATATAGCTCATTACCTCCATGGTAAACTAAGTGGCAATTTTAATCAATGTACTTCAGTGCTTTTCCTCATGCATCCTGCAAATTGTATTGCGCACTAATTACCAATGCTGCAGACATACACTGGGGAGTAAGTAGCATTTGCAATAACTAGGCTGCACAGGGAATATCAGAGAAAGTGTAAAACGGCCCTGCAAGCTTTAGAAAAAAGTATGTAGATTTCATTAGGTGGTACCACCACCACTGATTCTGGTTCTTGAGTATACTAAGCAACTTATTTTCCATATAAAATAGCAAGTTCAGTAGCCCAGATTAATATTTCACTATAGGGAGAAGCTGAACAGCTGATCTTCTGTATGTATTTATCTTGAATGAATAGATTGTTCACATTGAGGGAAAGAAAAGCAAATGTTAGGAAGAAGGAATATAAAGACACCAGAATTAAATCTGGGAATTGATTGTGAGGGACATAAGGGGAAGATAATGCTGTCATGGCTTAAAACAGTAAAGGCAGAACAGAATTCAATGTTGTTAAGCTGGGAGTGGTTAAAAAGACAAGTAAAAACATTGAAACTATCACACTGTGCAGGCACCCCCTATTTCTCATAGCTTCTTCTAAGAAGTGGGGATTGGCACCAAGATCAGGGAAAGCACTGCATTAGAGAATCCTGTAGCAACAGTGATAAGTGCACAGAAGGTGTAGATTCAACTGGAAGACTAAGGAGGCAGTAGCTTTCCTTGTTTCACCACTCAGCATATTCAGCAGTCCCATCATTGAGCAGAAGTTGGGTGGGCACCTCCTTCCCCGTGCTTGTAGTCTTTCAGCACCCCACTAGGCAAACTGCACTGATCAGTTCAGAGGTTTGCAGGGGATCTCCACAGAACAAGAGTAAGGGAAAACAAACAAAACCCAATGGAACACGCACACAGCACCTCAAAATACAAGACTAGCCTGCAGTCGAGTATGAGGACACTGGAAGCCCTAGGTGCATCAAATCAGCTTCACGTGTAATAGTACTTACTGCTTGCTACCTATAGCTTACTGGTATTTGTTTTAAGCTGGTCTGTGGCACAGACATAATATATTCTCATCTGTCTGGAAAAGACTGCATGAGTGAACACCCAGAGGGATGGCAAGTAAGAGGCATACTAGGAAAAAGAGTAAAAGCAGGAAGGAAGAGAATGAGCTTGAGCAAAGTTGACTGCAAACTTAGTAGCTATGACACTGTGATACTTTCAGATTAAAAACATGGGAAAAAATGTTGAACAAAACTATATTTGAGGAAGTGTAATGTCAATTACTATAAGCCTCCAAAATTCAGTGATTGACAAACTATAATTTACTGTTAATCACAGAATCACAGAACAGTTTGGGTTGGAAGGGACCCTAAAGATCATGTAGTTCCAACCCCCCTGCCATAGGCAGGGATGCTCCCCACTAGATCACGTTGCCCAGGGCCCCATCCAACTCTGGAAGCGGCTACACTTCCAGAGACTGGACATCCACAGATTCTCTGGGCAACCTGGTCCAGTGCCTCACTACCCTCTGGGTAAAGAACTTCTTCCTAATATCTAACCTAAATCTCTACTCTTTTAGTTTAACACTGTTCCCCCTTGTCCCATCATATCTGCCTATGTAAAAAGTTGCTCTCCCTCTTTTTTTATAAGCCCCCTTCAAGTACTGGAAGGCTGCAATGAGGTCTTCCCAGAGCCCTCTCTTTTCAAGGCTGAACAACCCCAGTTCTCTCAGCCTGCCCTCAACAGGAGATTTTATCCAGCCCTCTGATCATCTTCCTTGGCCTCCTCTGGACCTGCTGCAACAAGTCCATGTCTTTCTTGTCCTGGGGGCCCCAACCTGGATGCAGCACTCTACATGAAGTCTCACAAGGGCAGAGTGGAGTGGTAGAATCGTTTCCCTTGACCTGCTGGCCGCACTTCTTTTGACGCAGCCCAGGATGGAATTGTCTATCTGGGCTGCAATCATGTATTTTTTCTTCTCAGTCTAAACAACAACACAGCTTCAATGTCAATGAGGTTTTTTTGTGTTTGTATAATACCAAAAATTTTTAATTTTAAACAAGAGGAAATATTCATTATCCAACAAACTATCAAAGCAAAGAGCCACCCTGGCCCTGCCAAACTAACTTTTCCTGCTAGAATAACAGGATACACTTCCCACAGTTTAAAAATACTTGATCTTGCCCCACCTGCAAATCACACATCTACCACACTTGTTGCAATAACTATGCATGTAAAAGCATTCCTTTAGAAATTCACCTTCTTTTTATTTTCACTAGACTAATTGCTATTCTTTTTTATTGACTTTCAAATTATCTAGTTTTGTTGGTACATTAATAATATTGCATATGTAACCTAATAGCCACTAACTTTTCAAGCTATGCAAATGAAATTAGTGCTATGGCAGAATATTCCTTCGTGAGGTGAAAATGATGAGTCAACTGTTTTGTCAAAAGACAAACATTCATTC